AGGAAGCTCTTCAACGCGCGATTTCCGACATTGTGAACCAGTAAGTCGGTTTGGATATCGCCTTTCCGTCAGTTTCATTTGTTTGTGCCAGCATTGTTCGTGTTATCATGTTAGCAAGTCTGTCAGTGATCCCATAAAAGACATGGCTGGTGTTCAGGGATGTTGAATTTGTTTGCAGATAGGTACCTTATTTGAGAGACACTCTCTTCATCTTCACGCAGCAGCAGGTGGGATATTCAGTCGCTTTGACTCATGCTGCCGTCATAACTAACAGTTGTGCTTTTTGCAGATTTGCAGCTTTTAACAAGGTTTTTTTCTTACTATGAAGAACGTTTCCACCAATAAGGGTGACTTGTTTGCTTGCGTAGAGATGAGTGCATCTCACATATACTAGATCAAATTTAGCTGTGAGAATGCTGGAATGTGTAAATAATTGTCAAAATATTTCTGGTTTATAAAAAAATTTATCAGTCATTACAACAATCTTGTAGAAGCTTCTAGCTAATACGAAAATAATGTTATTATACAGAATTTGATATTATGAATACTTTATATTTGTGATTATAAACGACTGGGCCTTTATATTGGTTTACTAATTCGAGTGTTCTTTGGTTACTTCCTTGGTTATATTCATTTTCTGGACCAATCGAAACGACCCTCGCCAGTCGGGTGTGCGCGAACTGTGTTCAGTTCGCGCTCACCTCTGGCCCCGATCTGTAGGTGACCTCGTAGGTCACATTGTGGGCATGAGTTTACTTTGAACCATAGCCCGAGTAGCACCTCGGGGTAACCTACTAGGAGGTTACCTCGCGGCAAGTTTAGGGTTAGCTCAAGCTAACATTTCGGGCCCACAAATTTTGAGACGGTGAGGGTGCGAGAGCGAGAGGAGGCGGCGAGGGCTGAGACACAACTTGTGAGAGAAATTTTAAATAGGTGTTGAGAGGAAATTGGCCCGGAGTGGCTGTGCCGCGGGCGGCGATGGCGCGATGTGAGCGTGAGCGCATGCTGTGCTCGCTGGCACTGGCGTCTTGGCTCGTCGTTCTTGTCGCGCCCGTCGCGATGTTCAACGCCGTGCCGCTCGAAGCCACGCAAGGTGCCGCTCACGGAGATCATCTGTTGCGGCTTACACATTGATCGGATCATATAGACTTGCCGCAGACTGATTTCGATCGCGCGCGGTGCAGTTGACGCCTGTAGGCCCCATGTTGGGTCGAGATGCGGCGGGAGAGTGGCGGTTTGTCATTTGCATATGCTGCACTTGGAATGGCGTGTGCCGCGTGTGATGTTGATGAATGCCACGGCGGCAAGTTTGCCATTGCTCGTGGCACGTTGCACAACGCCCGCGACGAGCGCGGCCGCAGCGAGAGAAAAAGGGCGGCTGAGGGACGCGAGAGAGCAGAGGAGGAGACCTCGTGTGATGACTGGAGTTTCGTCTGTGCATTGTAGAGTAGATGCTGTCAGCGGAAGCGTGTAGGTGCTGCCAGCTTTGTAGGTCATGCGGTCTCTGGAAGTTTCGCCCCTGCGCTTGAGTCATGCCGCGAGGGTTGCGAAAGAGAGTGGCGAGGTGGAACGACAGCAAGGCAAGGGCAGGATGCAATTGCGGAGAGCGTGAGTCCTTGTCGGCTGATGTCAGCCATGAGGTTTGTTGAGGAAAACTTCCATACCCTCCATCCCTCCTCCCCGCCCAACCCTTTGCCCCTCTGCCTCCCACCCACCACCACACGTTGCAGTGCAATTCCTGCAGGAGTGCCAGGCGGCATGGGGGCAGAGCATCCCCGGGTGGAGTGGCGCAAGTCCGGACTGCAGCATTGCCACGGGCGTCAAGTGCGACCCCTCCGGCATGGTCGTGGCCTTGTGAGGCCATGGGAGGGAGGAGGGGGGGAAACGATGGCAGGGAGGCGATGCGAGGGAGGCGATGGGAGTGAGAGGGTGGGAGATTAGCAAGAGGCGAACTCGAACCTGTTCGGCTCTAACCGTTCCGAACAAGTCTTCAATTTGAGGCGAACATACGATCTTGAGGAAAAAGGCGTGCGACAGTTTTACCAAATGGTTGAACACCTGCGTGTGCGAGTCTGAACAGGAGACTGTTCGGCCCGAGCACGAATGCGTTTGGCCTAGGTGTTGAGAGGAAATTTAAATATCATCGTTGGTTGGGCGGATAAAGCAAGGAAGAGCCGTTTTGCCACCTAGAACAATATCATACTGAACACCCGCAACGAAACCTATGGGAACAGCGACTAAATGTAGCATTTCCTCTAAAAAGGCCATTTATAGTCGTTTTTCTTGGGGAGTGGTGGAGTCAGGAAAGAGAATACGAACAGCAGAAGTGCATCGAACACATTCTTGACTATAACATACGTTTAAGTCAAACAGCTTGGTCAAGAGTTGAAACGAGCAGGGGGTTGCTGCTGCCCATCCCCGGGTGGGAGTGAGAGGGTGGGAGTGAGAGGGTGGGTGGGGGTGAGAGGGTGGGAGTGAGAGAGTTTGAGCGAGAGGATGGGAGTGAGAAGGCGGAGTGGGAATGAGAGGATGGGATTGAGAGGGTGGGAGTGAGAAGATGGGAGTGAGAGGATGTGAGTGAGAAGATATTAAAGTGAAAAAATGTGAGTGAGTGAGTTTTTTACTCAACTTGATTCGGTTGAGTTTTTTTCCCCAAAACAAAGTTCGAACTCTGATATTGGAGTACAGTAATCAGGACAAGCAAAAGTTCGACTTGAATTATCTTGAAGATGATGCCCAGTGCTCATCATCATTCACACACCAACACTCACGCTAAGTTCCACACCATGAAACAGGCAACTCCGGAACTACAAGCTGCGAGGCCAGATTCCAAACTCCCTTAGCAACCTCAGGAAGGTCACTTATCTGTACGTCCCCAGCGCTGTGTCTCCTAAGGAAGGTCACTTGAGTGATTGATTGATGCAGTGAGATCGCACATAACCTTCCATCCCTCCCACAACTCAGTTGCGCCTCACTTTCTCAAATGGTCCTCATTTGCAAAGCCTAACCATAGGCTGGCTGCTGGCTAAGCGGGCCTGGCCAAAAAACGAGCGGGGGGCATTGAGCCTAGCCTCCTGATTTTGGGTCGCAGCTCGCAGCAAGCCGCTCGCCTAACTTGCAGCACGGTGCTTCAGCGATTCCTGTAGCGGCTTGTCGACGGCGAGTGGGAACCTGCGTCATGCTAGTCAATATGGAGTCAAAATCAGCTTCAGATCTGGTATTTTCCAGCTTCAATATGGAGTATCACTTTATATCTCTCCACTCCCCCGGCCCATACTTCACCAGGTCATACGGAAACCCTGGCTGGTTCGATACTTTGAGTACGCATCCGTTTTTTAGCTTCAAGTACATCTCGTCAAGTGGTACTCGAGCAGAATGACGTTGGGCTGCAAGTAGCTGGCCAGCTCCCGGCTCAACCAAAATGACCCATTTGCGAGCCGGGCAGGTCTTGGCTCGTCTCGTGCTGAACCGAATTGGCTCAGCAGGATAAAGACAAGCCCTCCCCAAGCTGGAAAATCTCGGACCCTTGCGCAGACCTATGGTTGGGCAAAGCGGTGCGGGGTGGAATGGCTGCAAAGGTGGGCCGACCGAGGGGTTTGAGTTGGAGAAACACTACCCTCTTCCCTTGAGGCTTGCTCAAATGATAATTAACGGCAGCCCCTCCTTGCTTGTATCGCCACAGTGATTTTGCAAGCAACCAGCTGCCAGGCAGCATCCCTGCCACAGTGACTGCGCTCAGCCTGCTGAAATACCTGTGAGTGTCATGCACACCGTTCAAAGCCCTGCCACGTCTGTTGTCCGTTCTCGTCCTCCCTCTACCTGTCCCTGCTCACTGTGGACTTCCTCTCCATCGTTTCACCTCTGCCTCTGTCTGTTGAACGTTTCTTGACATTTGATGAGGTGGAAGGTGCAGCAGTATTATCAGATCATGAGGTCAGTGCAGCAATATAATCAGGTGCAGCAATCTCATCCGATGCAACAATACCATCCAGTGCAGCAATATTATCAGGTGCAGAAATATCATCAGCTCAGGTATGAAGAGAAAATCTATGCAACTATTGGTCAGCTACATTAGGCATGCTGGAGGAAGGTATGGATGAATAATCGTGTGAGAGTGGGGTAGGCAGCGGGTGAGGCAGTGAGTAAGCAGGAGTCGCCGATCAATCAGGGTAGCTCTTCGATCGAGATTGAGGTAAGGCGAAAGTCGGTGCAGCAGCCTTGTCTCGGTGTGTACCTCTCATTCTATTGCCGGCAGGGTCCCAATGTCTTCTGGGAGCAAACCCTCACGTTTCCGTATTAGCCCATGCAGTGGGAGGTGGTGAAGGGCCCCTCGAGGGCAGGCGTTGATTGGGAGAGGCACGCTGGTGCCCCTTATCACTGGTAATTCAGCCATTTCAGTTCAGGCCCATGTCCCCCCCATACTGTTGATTGCTGATGTTGTTGTGATGCTCAATAATTGTATTCTTAGCCTATTGTCCTTGTCTTCTACAATCCCTAACGCGTTGCCGCCGGCGCGAGCCGTTGTCACAAGAGAAGAAGATGAACATGAACTGAATAATGAGCTCCGAAGCATGGCTCCCAGGCTGAAGTGTTAGAAATAATTTATTGTAGCATGCCAACACTTGTGACTGTACACCAATTGTGGTGTACAGTTGGGTTGGGACTACACCCAACATTGGGTGTAGTCTTGCATTGTGGGGTGCCAATCCACCCAATTGTGGTGGAGCCCCCAAATGCAACCCCCTTGGCTTAAGGTTGCCTCACTTCCCACAAGTGAGGCCAACCCAACCCAAGTGGGCCTAAGGTTGCCTCAATCCCCAAAAGTGAGGCCAACCCAACCTATGGTCAACTCCACCCTTCTCTTCCAAGCTCCTCTTCCATCTATGTATGCTAGTTCCTACTCTAATCAAGGCATTGGTTCCAATTCCAACTTTCACATGGTATAGAGCTACTTGTTCCTAGGCCTTACCTCTCCCTCCCTTCAGTTTTTTTTTTTTCCCATGCGCCCATCCCACAGCTACAAACCCTTTCCTATGCGTGGCTCAACTAGCCATCACTAGCATACTCTCGCCGCGACCTACAACGTCGCCGCCATTCCCCCCTCCCGCCGCGATTACGCCTTCCTCGCCTGCGGATTCCACCGCCACGAGCGCATCGCCGCTGTCCCCTCCTCCCCTCGCCACGACCCCCTGTCGCCGCCTCCCCTTCCTGCCGCCGCGCCTGCTTCGGCGCCGCCTGCGCATCCCGCTGCCGCGACGCGCCGCCTGCCCGTCCCGCCGCCGCTTCATCCCCGCCCACACTTCCTGCAGCCGAAACTGCCCCGTCGCCGCCTGCAGATTCAGCCGCATCTGCACCCCCCCTTCCCCCTCTCCCTACTCCTTTCCCCGTCCCCCTGCGCCCCTCGTCGCCGCGGCCTGCCTGCCGCCGCCGTCCCTCGTTTCGCCGCCGCAGCCATTTCCCCGCCGCCTCCACCTTTCCGCCGCCGCAACGTGCTTGCAGCCGCCGCTCTCAAAATCGCCGCCGCGGCCCTTCCGCCGTCGCCTGCGCCCTTCGTCATCGTGGCCTGCTCGCCGCCGCCGCTCCCGACTTTGCCACCGCCTCCCCTTCCCGCCGCCGCACGTTCGCGCAGCCGCCCGCGCCCTTGTCACCGCCGCTCCCAGCACCTTGAACGCCTCTGCCCTCCACCGCTGTCTCCCTCCTTTACCCCTCCCCTCCCCCCCCCCCCCCCTCCTTCCTCCTGCCAGCGGTAGCAGCAGCGGAAGCAGGGGAAGTGCAGCAGCCTCAGCAGCAGCAACTTCACCCTTGGCCGCCACGGGTCCACCCGCCGTCACCCATCATGACTGCTACCCCCCCTGCCCATCTCCCCCCTCCTCACTGGAGCAGTGTTACTCCTCGCCCCTCCCTCCTCACCACTCCAACCCTCCACTCCTTCACCCCCCCTTATCTTCGCCTGCTCACCCCCTCCCCCCCTCCCCATCTGCAGCGTTTCCAGCAGCTCCAGCATCAGCGGCAGCAGCACTTCCAGCAGCGGCATTCCTTCCAACACCGACAGCAGCCGCAATTTCTCCAGCCTCACCCGCCACAGCTTCTCCATCCGCAGCAGCACCAGTCCTTCCAGCAGCAGCAGCAGCCACGGTTTCTCCAGCCGCAGCAGCAGCAGTGCTTCCAGCAGCAGCAGCTGCCACAGTTCCTTCCACCGCAGCAGCAGCAGTGCTTACAGCAGCAGCGGCTGCCACAGTTCCTTCCGCCGCAGCAGCAGCAGTGCTTCCAGCAGCAGCAGCTGCCACAGTTCTTTCCGCCGCAACAGCAGCAGTGCTTCCAGCAGCAGCAGCAGCAGCCGCAGTTTCTTCAGCCGCAGCAGCAGCAGTGCTACCAGCAGCAGCACCAGCCACAGTTCTCTCCATCCGCAGCAGCAGCAGTGCTTCCAGCAACAGCAGCAGCCGCAGTTTCTTCAGCCGCAGCAGCAGCAGCCACAATTTTTTCAGCCGCAGCAGCAGCAGTGCCTCCAGCAGCAGCAGCAGCCACAGTTTCTTCCGCCGCAGTAGCCGTCATAGTCTCTCCAGCCGTAGCAACCGCAACAGCATCAACAGTGCTTCCAGCAGCAGCAGCGGCCCAATTTCTCCAGCCGCAACCGCCACAGTCTCTCTCACCGCAGCAGCCGCCGCAGCGACAGTACTTCCAGCAGTAGCACCTGCCGCTCTCTCCCTCTTCTGTCCATGAAACAACTCTCCAGTACTCTGTGTTACCTCCCTCTCCTTCCTCCCCCACCCTAGACTTTGTCCTTGACAGTGGGGCCACCGAAACTGCACTGAAAGACGCTGGCACCCTCACCCCCCTCCCACTTCCGACCCAGGTTCATGGTGCCGACTCCAGTTTTTCCATCCCCTGCACTCACCTCTCCACCCTTCCCTGCACCGCTTTCCCATCCGGTACAGTCACCGGTCTCCATATCCCTACCCTTCGCAATAACCTCCTCTCCCACCGTGAACTCCAAGGCGTTGGTATTACTGCCATTTACCCTGGCTTTGCTTCCTACTGTGATCTCTACCACACCGCCTCTGGTCGCTTCCTCCTGCGCATTCCCCTTTGCCCTCGCACTCGCCTTTACACGCTCCGCACACCCCGTCCCTTCTTTTGTCACGTCACCACTCGTGCTGGTACTTCCACCGGTCCCCTTCTCCCTCCCCCTCCCCCTCCTCCTCCCCCTCACCCTCCCCCTCTCCTTCTCCCTCCTCCTCCGATATCCTCCTCCTCTATTCCATCCGCCTCCTCCCCCCCCACCTTGTCCCCCACCCCGTCCCCCTCCTCCTCTACTGCCCTCTCCCACCCTGCGGTTCTCCTACATCACAGACTCGGCCATCCCAACTTCGCCGCACTTCGCTCCACCGTCACCTCTCGCCTCCTTCACAGCCTTCCTCCAACCTTACCTCCCCTCCCCTCCTCCCCTGCTCCCCTATGCCCATCATGCATTCATGGCAAGCTCAAACAGTCCCCCCATTACAGTCATCCCACCTCCCGCCCCCATTGACCTTGTTCACATGGATTTCTGGGGCTCTTACCCCATCCGCTCCCGTCAGGGGCACATGTACATGCTCGTCCTCGTTGACGACCACAGTCGGTACTCCACCGTCTTTTTTTTTCACACGAAAGACCAGGTGCCGGCTGTGGTCATCACCTGGGCTGAGCAGTGCCGCAATCACTTCAAACGCCCCATCGGCCGCCTTCAATCTGACGGTGGGGGTGAGTTCATCAATCAAACTCTCTCCACTTACTGCAAAACATATGGCATTCAGCAGACCTCCACCCTCCCCCACTCCCCTCAGCAAAACGGCATCGCTGAGAGTCACATTCGTGAGATCACCAAGGTTGCTCGCTGTCTCATTGTTCACGCCTCCACCCCTCCCTCCCTCTGGAGCTATGCCCTCCTTCATGCCGCCCTCCTCCTCAATCTCCGCTCCCGCCCTCAGCATCCCTCATCCTCCCCCACAGAACTCTGGTCCAAGGCCAAGCCTGACGCCGCAGGCCTTCGTGTTTGGGGCTGCAAGGCGTTCGTCCTCATTCCACCGGCCGACCGCTCCCGCGCTGCTGGCAAGCTCGCTCCTCGCGCTCTGGAGTGCGTCTACCTTGGGCACAATCGTAATTCCTCAGGCTACCTATTCCTCCACCCTCCCACCAATCGCCTCATCTGCAGCATTGAAGTCGTCTTCGACGAGTCCACTCCCTACTACTCCACCCCTCCTCCTGACCCCCTCCCTCCTCCCACTCGCCCCCTCACTTAACCCGACACCGTCCTCCCGCCTCTTCTCCCTCCAGCGCCTCTCCTCCCACCTGTCGCTGCCCCACTCCCGCCTTCCTCCTCTGCCGACGTCTACGACCCTGCCGCACCCGCCTCCCCCGCCCACTCAGCTGCACCCCCTCCCCCCTCTCCCTCCTCCTCTCATTCTCCCCCTTTCCAGCAGCCGGATCAGCAACAGCAGGGGCAGCAGCACCACCACCAGCAGCAGCAGCAGCCGGGCAGCAGCAGCAGCAGCAGCAGCAGCAGCAGCCGGAGCAGCAGCAGCCCGGGCAGCCATAACAGCAGCAACCGGGACAGAAGTAGCAGCAGCAGCAGCAACAACAACAACAAGGGCAGAAGCAGCAGCAGCAACAAGGGCAGCAGCTTCAGCAGCACCAGCAGCAGCAGCGGCGCCGTGCCACTTCCCGCTCCTCCCCCTTCCTCCTCCCTTACATGCATACCCGCTTTGTGGACAAAATCCTTGGGGCTCCTCCTCCTGCCTCCATTCAGCTCCTTGAGGACTCCCAGGAGGAGTTCCTCAACATTCGGCAGCACACACCTTTCCTTGCCTCCCTCTACCTTGACTTCCTCGGCTTTCCCGTCCTTGGCGCCACCTCCACCCCAACCATCTTCACTCCCACCACCTTCCAAGAGGCCATCACCTGCCCTGACGTGGACAAATGGATAGCGGCGATCTTCCTGGAGTGTGAGACATTTATTCGCAACGACTCCTTTGCCGATGTCCCCCTCCCAGCCGGCGCCAATCTCGTCGACGGCAAATGGGTCTTTCGGGTGAAGCAGCTGCCGGGCGAGGAGCCGGTTTACAAGGCACGCTACTGCGCCAAGGGTTTCACGCAGACTTGGGCCGAGGATTACTGGCTCACCTACGCCCCCACCGCCAAACCACCCACCCTTCGCGCAGCCCTCGACATTGGTGCACGTGACAACATGGAGATATGCTCCATGGATGTCTCCAATGCGTTCCCGCAGGGAGACCTGCACGAGCACATCTTCCTCAGGCTGCCTCCTGGGTTCCATGCTGCCTTTCCTGAGAACACCGTCTGGCAGCTGCGCCGGCCTGTCTATGGCTTGAAGCAGGCTCCAAGGGAGTGGCATGCGAAGCTGTCTGCCACTCTCGGGTCCCTCGGCTTCTCTGCATCCCACTCTGATGCCAGCCTCTTCATTCGCTCCTCCCCTCGCCGCTTCTTCATTATGGTGTATGTGGATGACATGATTCTACTATCAGACTCCAAGGTTGACATGGAGCAAATGAAGCAGTCACTGCAGCAGCGTCTCAAATGCAAGGACCTGGGCGACCTCACACACTACCTTGGCATGACCATCACGCGCAACCGCCTTGCTCGCACCATCACCCTCTCCCAGTCCCACTACATCGGCCAGGTCTTGGAGAAGTTCGACATGGCGCAGGCCAAGCCCGTGTCCACCCCCCTCCCTTTCGGCCACCAACTCGCTCCACCCACTTCTCCCACCTCCTCCCCTCACCCCTATGCCGAGCTTGTTGGGTCCTTGATGTACGCAATGATGTGCACCCGCCCCGACCTCGCCTACCCCATCAGCATGCTCACTCGATTAGTTGGCACCGGTTGCCACACTGAGGAACACTGGAAAGCTGCCAAGCGGGTCCTCCGCTACCTTCGAGGGACTCAGGACCGTGCCCTCACCCTTGGCGGCCCCTCCCCCCCCTCTTCTCTCAGGCTTCAGTGATTCCTCTTGGGCTGACACGCAGCTGGACCGCCGCTCCTCCCAGGGCTACGGTTTCACCCTTGGCAGCAGCCTTATCAACTGGCGCTCCACCCGCTCCTCCGCCATCTCTCTCTCCACCTGCGAGGCCGAGCTCTACGCTGCCCAGGAGTCGCGCTGGCTCTGCTTCCTTCTTGCAGAGCTTGGCGCCCCCCAACCCTGCCCCACTCTCTGGTGCGACAATGCTAGCACCATCCATCTCATTCAGGATCCCGTCTGTCATGCCCGCTCCAAGTACATCGAGCTCCGCTACTTCTTCATTCGCGAGCTCGTCCGGAAGGGCCTCATTGCTGTTCGAAAGATTGTGGCCGAGGCCAACTTAGCCGACATCTTCACCGAGGCCCTCCTTCGCCCTGCGCACTCTTCTCTCCTCCGCCTTATTGGCCTCGCTCGCACGGGCGCCCCTTGATTCAGGGGTTGTTCTCTTCTTGTGTTAGCATGCTAAGGGGTTGTGTTAGAAATATATATTGTAGCATGCCAACACTTGTGACTGTACACCAATTGTGGTGTACAGTTGGGTTGGGACTACACCCAACATTGGGTGTAGTCTTGCATTGTGGGGTGCCAATCCACCCAATTGTGGTGGAGCCCCCAAATGCAACCCCCTTGGCTTAAGGTTGCCTCACTTCCCA